AGAGGGTCTAACTGACCCAGCAAGAGACCTGAAAGTTGGGGCCAACGCAGTGGATGGGAAAGAAATTTTTTTTTTTTTTACGTATAAAACTCATAGTTTCAGCTAAAACACGAAAAATTAAAAAAAGAGCTTCACTGGCACTTCTGAAGAATAAAAAAAGGATTTGGAAGCTTTAGATTTGAAGCTTCACAAGCTTCTTATGAAAAATGCAAGCTTTGAAAAACTTCTGAAGAATTAATATTCTTACTTTGGGCTCTTCTACTGCCAACGGACTACAGATGCTGTAACTAATAAAAAATAATTAATGCCAATAAACAGGCCCTTCATAAGGCTTCAGCTTCTCTCCTTCATCAAAGACTCAAGTCATTCATTGGGACATTACACAGGAAACAAAATTCATCCACAGAGCTTGTCTTTTCCACATTTGATTTTTCTGTGCTGTAACTCACAGTCAAAAACCTTCCAAGTGTGAGGAAAGAAATTTGATTTTTTTAATAAGGACACAGCTCCAAAAGCAACTCCAGAGCCTGGCAGAGACCTTCCCTAGAATGGAACTGAGAGCTGGGAGTTTGTGTGCCAGCCCTCCAAAGAGCCCAGGTCTCAGGTGAGAGCAGGAGAAGCACTCATGAAGGAACCAGGCAGGTTCTCAGCAGTGCTCAGGTGAGCTCCACCAACGCACACCCTGGCTTTCCTGAAAGTCTGGCCATGTCCTGCAAGATTCACAAGAGCTGATTTTTCTGATACCCTCCAACTGACCATCCAAATGCCCCCAAAAATGCAACAGTCTCAGAGCATCAGGTACCTCCTCACCAGATTCAACACGGCAGGAGGACAGTGACAATGCTTGGGTTTCAGCAGGTGAGAAGCTCCTTACCCCAGGAGAGAGGGGAGGTAAAACATTCCTCAGCTGTTTAGCTTTATTTTAGAAATCCTGACACTTCTCTCTCAGAGGGACTCGGTGGAGAAGGGTGTATCAGCTCCAGGCACAGCAGAGACCACCACAGAGCAGGAAGGACGACCTTCACCCCACGAACCCGCACCCCGCGCACGAGGAGCCCTGCTGTGGAACACAACCCTAGGGAAGCAAGGTAAGAAAGCTGAAAAGTTGGCAAAAAAAACCTAACTGGTGTCTAGGCCAAGCGTGCAACCCCTGCTGCTCCTGTCAGCTTCAATGGCACGCTGCAGACCGGCACTGCAACACCAGCCAAGGTGACATCCAGAAGTCAAAGCTCTCTCAAGACAGAGGCACTCGTGGTCTCAAGCCTGAGGAAAACAAAGACAGTGATCCCAGTAATGACAATGACAATTCAGAGGGGTGTTAAAACTGATTTCCTAAATTAATGAGCTGGGCTCCAAGCAGAAGCATTGCCAGCCCTGTCGGTCCAGAAGACTGTGGTCCTACCCTCCCCCAGGGCAACAGCAGTAAATCTGGATAAGAAGACTGATCAGAAACTTCTAGTGACACATCCACCCATATTTTGAAGATATGGCAAAAACCAAAGAAATAGAAGATCAGTGAAAGGCAACAATTAGCCAGCAGAATTTTCTATCATGGGAGACTATTGAGACAAGAGCTTGGATAAATTAAGCAAATAGGGCATCTTGTAGTAAAAAGCGTTTTCAGAGCTTTGTAAAGGCCAAACAAGACTGCAAATGTGAGCTCAGACTGCTGGGCACAAATTACCTTCTGAATACTTAAGGGTCAGAAGAAAACGCTGCCCAGGACACCATCCCCCATCGCTGCCCTCTCCCAGATCCCCCCACAGCCAGACCCCTCCTGTGACTGGAGGGCACTGGGCCACAGCCCTGGATTGCTCCCAGAGCTGAAGTAGCAGTGCAGACACAGAGCCACCTCATACGTGTCACTGTTTGGAGCCTGCATAATCACCCAGCTCAGCCCATGCAGGAGCAACATGAGGAACACCTTCTGTACAGGAGAAATGCTTGAGATTTAAAGTTTTAACACAAGCTAACAAACGCCAGGGATGAAAGAAATCCTGGGATGAAAGATCTCTATGACACCTGCTTTGAATAAAAAGACATTGCTACAAAAATATCACAGACCTGCTGGTCTAGAGCCTTTGCTACATGTCATTCCCCAGACATCAATTTGCAATAGAGGCACACAAAAGCAGCATTACACAGATTACATGCTACTCCCCTGAACTGCAAACAAAATCCACCCAGCGCTACTGCCACAGTCCAAAGCACCACTGAACCAAAGCCACCTTCTCCTGCTGTTCCTAAGAGGACTTTGTAAGGATAAGGGGTCAATGCTCGTTTGCAGAGCTGACAGCTCCTCCTGCAAACTTCGCTCCGGCTCAGCTTTGCCCAACACTCCCCGTTTTTCCTTATGTCCACAGCCAGGGAACTGGTGGTGCCAACCCCCTGGCACTGAGAGCAGGACAGGTTATCCCCAATTTCTGCATCTTTCAGGCAAAGCCCACGCCCACACCTGGATGCTCAAACCAGTTCATCATCTTCAGCATCTGTAACTCCACCGCTTTCTGCACAACACAACACATGGTAAGGATTTAATGTTTTGTTGCAACGGCACCCAGGAGCCCTAAAATCAAAAAATCAAAAAGCTGAGATCCCACCACGCCCCTCACACCACATCCAGGAAACAGATCAAGTGGGTCCCTGTACTGGAACAGCTCAAACCCCCCCACAGGTTACACTGTGGGTGTGTACGACCAGCTCGAAGGAAAGAGGGAAGAGCAAGGTACCAACAAAACATGGTTTGCTCGGTTTTATGCCACATGGCTCATTTACTCACTGCTGGCAGCTTCCACAAAATCAGGCTTGTCAAGCACCTGACTGTATACACAGGTAATGATTATAAAGCCAACTCAAGCGGGGCTAAAAGTACACAAGGATCTAGCATAAAAATAAAAAAAGTGCAATCCTCTCCCAGGTGGAAAACAGGACTTTGAACGTAACAGGTGGATTATGTAACAATTATTTTGCTCCCAATTCTCAAAATATTATTTTTAAAATACCCTCACAGACCAAAAATCATCATTACTGAGAAGCAATAGCGAATTTACTCTGTTTAACATCCAGAGTTACCCATCTCTCCCAGGGCCAACGACAAACTCAGCTACGACAGCATCTGCACAGCCCCCATGCGAGGACTAGGGCAAAGCCTGGAGTATCCACAGCTCTCCTCCCTGGATTCTGCCCAAGGAAAAGATTATTTCCTAATGCTGCTTTTTGTTTGTGACAGGGCATAAACTTCATGGGGACAGTTCTCTGTTGTGCCTGGGGAAAGCAGCACAGCTGGTTTGTCATCACTCTGGCTATGATGGAAAGGCCTTAATATCCAAAAAATGCACCTCGCATCGATGGTTCTGTCCCACACCAAGGATGCCAACCTGAGCTGGACTCTTTTGTTTGAGAACACTTTCTCCCCAAGCCTTCGGCCTCCTTGGTCCTGCAAGCACATTTGAGTCTTTTCAACCTCTCTTTGCAGAGACAGGAAAAAGATACACACGTGATCCATCACAAAAACATCCATGAGGCCTCACCATCTCAGAAGAGGAGGACACCATCAAGGCACTGCCCTACACAGACATACTCCCTGTCCCAGCTGTAGAAGTTAAAACCCGCTGGCCACAATCTTTTCCCTATTTTTCAGTCTCAAAGAGACTCCTCAGCATTCAGAACTCAACATTTAAGTGGACTGCTGGAGCTTCGCCTCCAAAAGGCAACAGCAAACACAAAAAAGCAAAAACAAAACCAGAGAAATGCCCCCTCCCCGCCCCCAAAGCCGAGCAGAGGGTGAGGTGCAGAAAGGGAAAGGGGCCCGAGGAGCTCGGGGAAGCCAGCCGGGTGCTCCCCTTTTCTGCCTCCCTTTTATTCCTGCTGAGTGGAGTAACACTTGAACTGGCTCTCTTTATTTGCAGCCGGATATGCGCTTTCAAAGATACTGTACTACTGTGTAGGCCAAGCAGGGACTCTCTTTCTTCCCTTGGTTAAGGCTTTTGGGAAAATAATTATTCACCAGAACTGCCATCGTGAACAGAGCAAGCTAAATCAATGTAGCTTTGTATGGGCCATTGCCACTGCAAAGCAAATACTCCATCAAGACATGGATCAGTGAGAATTTGATCACTAGGAATCCTTATGCACATCTTTGTGTATTTTTAATATCCACCTTATTACTTGGCGTGCCCCTTCCCTCCCCACGCTCCTGCACCCCACCCTCCCCACGGATTCATCTTGTGTCGCTGGCAGCTACGGGGCTTGGCCATGAGATTCACATCAGTAAAAACATCTTAAATACACAGGTTTATTCTCCTTAAAAAATAATAATAAAGCATTGGTGCAGAGCAGATTTATTCACTGAACAGGTTGATTTATTTAACAGACCTGACATACATCAAAACCTACTATAGGCTTACATAATTGTTATCCATTTAGCAGGTCTGGTTTTTTTGTCAAGTATTTGTTTTTCAAAAGTGATTCACTAAAGACTGCTGCCTTCTGCACAGCTCACATACCTTAACAAATGCAGTCTTGCATGGGGTATTAGCTGGAGTGACTTTAAATTGCATCCTACCTGCTTGAGTGCTGCCGTTATTTTTTTTAGTCTCTGTATTATTCCACTACTAAACCGCACCAAAAAAAAAAAATAATAAAAAAAAAGACAAACAAGAAGCACGAGCGCGTGTAGAGCCACAGCCGAGCCCCTTCCCAGCAGAGCCTGCCGTGGGCTCGGTGTTACCGCAGTCCCGCCGTAGCAGCGATCCCAGCAGGTACCTCCGGCCCGGAGTACCAGGATGTTGATGGCTGCACGGAGCTCTCGGGGCCGGCGTGGGGCAGGAGGGACGAGCAACGCGCCGGGCGGAAGCGGGGAAAACCTCCGGGAGGATGGAAGGACCACAGAGCCGTTTTGTTTTCCCGCAAAAGGCTCATTGAGGCCTCGGCTCGCACAGGCGCACCGCTCCCTCCGGCCTCACGCATCCACCCACGGCCGCGAGCCCCCAAATACGCACCCATCCTGCGCGGGTCCCCGGCGGGAGGCGGAACCCCCAGGAGCATCCCCGAGAGCAAACGGATCGCCCTGGCGTTCATCGCCGGTCCCTCACGGCTTGTTTGGGTTCATCCGTCGCACAGTGCCTCGCTCGCTCATCGCGGAGCCGAGGATCTCATCCCCCCCTCGCTCCAGCATCCTCCTCGCACACACACACCGGGCACATCGCGGGGCTCGGGGATGGCAGCGCCCGGGTACCGACCGCACGGACCCGGCGCTCCGCCGCCCGCCAGACAGATGGTTAATTACATTCACAGCCGCATTTTGCGCTGGGATAGAGTTTCAGACAATGAGCCAGTTTTATTTGATTAGCCAGTTCTCTAGTTTAATGTGCGCAGTGACAGCTACTCCCAGAGCTGGGGCTTTTTTTTTTTTTTTTAATAAAAATAAAAATCCCCATCCCCCCTCCTTTTATTATGTTTTTGTTCTGGCCGAGGCTGAAGTGAGCGGCCCCCGCGGGGGCCCCGGAGGGGACCCGCTGCCCCCGGGCCCGGCGGGGCGGCGCCCCCGCCCAGCGCGGCACCTGCCCGGGGAGGGGGGGGGATACGGCGCCAAGTTGCCGCCCCCCCGTAACCTCAGACCACCCTCACACACACACACCCCCCCCGCAACTTCCCCGCAGGCCTCCGCGCAGGCCGGCGCTGCCATCCTGCCATCAGCATCCCCTCCTCCTCCTCCTCCCCCCTGCCCCCGCGGTGCCGGGGGGGGTGTGCGGATGCGGCTCGGCCGCGGCGGGACTCACCTGAGCGCGGGGCCCGCGCTGGAGGGGGTTCCCCCCGCCCTGCGGGCGCTCCGGTGCCGCGGCGCTCAGCGCGGCTCCTCCATGCGCCCGGGGCCCGGCGCGCGCAGGTGGACGCGCCCGCCCCCGGCCCCCGCCTCCCGCCCGGCCCCCGCCCCTTCCCCCTTCCCCTTCCCCCGCCGCCGCCGCCCCACGGACGGGCCCCCCGGCCCCGCGTCCCTGCGCAGGGACGGGCGGAGGGCGGGAGGGAGGATGGGGGGGGGCGGCTCCCGCCTCGCCCCGCCGCCGCCGCCGCCGCCTCCTCCTCCTCCTCCTCCTCCCGCTCGCCGCCGCCGCCCCCCCAGGCCTGCGCCCATTCAGGAGGTGCCGGGCAGCGCCAACGCTGCCATTGTTCGCTCGGAGCGGCACCGGCTCCCGCCCGCTCCCCGCACACAGACACACGCACCGGGAGCGCGCACCGGCCATAAAGGGCGCGCGGCCGCGGGCCCGGGCCCGGGCAGGTGCCGGTGCCGCCCCGGGAGGGGAGAGCAGAGCGCACCTTCGGCGGGGATGCGGCACCGCGGCAGGCAGGGACGGAGGATGGGCCCCGCCGGGAAGGGAGGACGGGCCGGGCCGGGCCGGGCCGTGCCGGTGGGGAAGGGACAATGGGGACGGCCCCGGGGGCTCAGCCGGAGCCCGGGAGTGAAACTCGCTCCCAGCGCAGTCCATCCGGTTTAATTCTCTACAGTGGATATGGAAATCACCTTAGGGCTTGCAACAGCCCGTCTGATGTGTTTTCATTATCAGATTAATAATAACAGCGTCTAAAAGTATGCTTTACCTTCAGATGCCCATTAAGAGGAGGAGGCTGCCTCATCTCAGGATGGCTCCGGACTTGCCGAGATGCCGGGCACGCAAGGGAAGGCAGGGACGCACCAGACACAGCCTTTTGCAGAGCGGGAGGGCGACAGGAACAGGCAAGGCAGGAGCCTACACCTACCCAGTAGGGGAGCTTACAATATACAGCCCTTTTCGCAGGACCCCCAGGGCAGCTCGGAGTCCTGCAGCCCCGTTTCTCTGTGACATCCTCACACGTGCACCACGGGCCAAGTTACTGCACTGGGGACTGGAGGAAACTTTTGTTATTCCATTTCTGAATCAACAATATGGTTTAACAAATAGAAGGCAAACCAGACACACCTATTTTGACTGCAATGGAAAAAATGCAAGTTGAGTATTAGCCTTTTATTTAATTTCACTTTGATATTTAAGAGGGGTTCCGAGTTTTAAGTTACCACTTGAGTTCACGTGAAATTTTGCTGCCTTTGCATCTTAAACAACAGGTACAGTCTACAATATTGATTAGGTAATACTGTGACTAAAATATTAAAGTATCAAGCACTTTAGTCCTTTTTCCCACAGCAGTGGAGACCCCCATACATGCAGTAATGAAACAGGAACAGCACATGGAACGCTCTCTGAATTCAGAACACCTTACACATTACACATCAACCTGCAAAATAAGCAACTAATCTCATTTGTCCTTCATTAAGAGTGGTACCCAGGACATTCCATACAGCACATGTGAATAAATTATTGATTTCCACTGTGTTAGAACTCACAATTGAAGGGTTATGCTCTGTTGGAGAAATAAAGACCAGCAGTAAGTGATTTGACCAAGGCCACAGAGTGAGGCAGTGTCATAGTGGGAGCACTTCCCAGTCCTATCCTGAGTTAAGGTTTTCCTCTCCAGCCTCACCACATTCCTGTGGGAATTGCACACTTCAGTCCCTGTACCTTAACATACTTGTAATGCTGCATTTTATTTCACTACCCCCCCTCCTTCTCTTGATAGAAAGATTCAATTAATATAAATCAGGGTCAGGTGAGACAGCACACCTGGCAGTGCTCACTAAAATAAACACACAGGCGGTGGTCATGAACTGCTTTCCAAATGTCAGGAACTCAGGGCGGTTTTGCCCTCAGTCTCTGCCCTGGCACACTCACGTACGGGCTGGTACCTTCCAAATGCCACAAGTAAATCTGGCAGCTCCTCTGCTGAGGCACCTCACAGGGCAGGAATTACATGGCCAGAAGCACTGGGACACCAACACCTGGTCAGACCCGCCCCAGCTCCCTGTGCCTTTGGAGAGGAGCCGGCAGCTGTGCCCGGGGCTGGAGGTGATGGCAATCAGCTGAGTGTAATCACCAAGGTAAGATTAGACCTGAGCGTGGGGAGAGCCTCGTGGAGATGAAAAGACACATTCAATTAAATGAGTGTTGCACCTGGATCCAGTTTAGAAGACGACAACCCAAGTATTTATTTAAGTGCTGTATTTTAGAGGGAACACAAACATTTTAAGGCTCAAAGATTATCCTTGGAGCTGTGATACAACATAATGCCTTTAGTTTCAGTTGTCCACACCCCTCATTTAAGGTCCTTCAGTTACAGAACCACCACAATACTGATCAATTGGCAGCACAACATTCTGCACAGCATCCCGGCCGATCTGAACAATTAACAGTCTGTGCACTGGGATCTCTTCATGAACTGCCACAAACAGATGTGGAGGGTGCACTGACATGATGGGAGCACAGCTACATACCTTGGCTGGGTATTAATTTTCCAGGCTGTCAAATAGAGACTCACAGGTGCGAGAACAAGGTGCTAAGAAAGCTCCTTTTGGCAGGAGGAGATGAGCAGCCCCCCGAGCGAGGAGTGATTGCGGTGCCAGCCCCGCCTGGCTCTGCCCTGCTGCTCCTCCTCGCTGCCCTCCCACCCTCTCCGGTACCGCCCCGCTGCAAGGGCATCACAACCACTCACCACAGCCTGTGCCACGGAGCAGAGCAGACATTTACATCTGCCACATCCTTCCAGCTGTCTTCACGCAAAATCCACGTGCCCAGACATGGGAGCCTCTGCTTGCTGGTCTCTCTAGGAAGCAGGAGTTGGGTCTAAAGTAGAAGAATGTGGGTTATGGCAAAAGGCCAGTGCTGTGGTTGTTTCCAGTTCTCCGAGTGCCCATTTCCTGATCATTCCTTCTTTCCATCGTCATTCTCTCTTTGGTGCATGGGACCTTCACTGCAGCACACCCAATAAGCATTAAATCCTTCATTTGGCACGGCCCAAATAATTTCTGCCATACACGGTCCCCCCGCTAAAGCAGAGGTTCACCACAGGGTTCTGTTTTGCCTGTGGCACAAGTACGACACAAATGTGACTTTCAAAGACCTCAAATCCTACCCTCTCAGGTGAGCCTGGAAAAACATGGTTCAAGCAGAAGGCTGCCCAGGTGATGTGAGCCTTAAAAACACACCGGAAAATGCAGCAGGACAACGGGAGGCATTACCCTCCTATCCCATTCTACTGCAGAGGGCTGGAGAGGATTTCTTCCCTTTGTCAGCATTCCAGAACCAACTTCTGAACAAGAACGGTGTAACATAGACTGCTGGCAGTAAAGGGAAGCACTCTGGGAGGCAGGATGGGGTTTTGATTCAGGTGAGTGAAGGACTCACCCTCTCACCTCCCCCTTCCTTCCCAGGTCCTGATGTGCAATTCAGAACCAACCCTGTGCTGTGGGCAATAACGCTGAGCCTGCAAACAGGGAGTCCTTCTGACTGAGGCTGAAGCAATTCCTCAAGAAGAAACAAAGCTGGAACCATGAACTGTCACAGGCTGAATTTCTCCTTTCCTCTCTGGCACACCTGGCAAGCCCTAGAGCTTTGTCAAAAAACCATCCCAACCCCCCAAAGCAGCTGCTCAGCGTGAACCCCCCTGGCTGCAGACACACTCCCCCAGCACTCCTGGCTGTTTGCAGCCCCTTCTCGGAGCGCTGTCCCAGAGGAGCTGCAGGAACAGTGCTGCTGCTTAGTCCACACCTTCTCTTGGCCCTGACGTTCCACACACACTCAGGACAAGCTCAAGGCTGTCGCTGACCTTGCTGGACAAGACAAATTTCCAATGGGCCTGACAGAGCTCTGGAGGGACAGAAGGTGAGGAGGGTCCCTGAGTGGTCTCCAGGCCTCTCCATTCCTTGACAGGCTCTTGGCTCCACCAAACACCCAAAAAACACCCAACCCTGCCTTGCAACTCCTTCACAACGCTGAAAACCCCACTGTTCAAGTCAGACAGTTCCAGCAGGTTCACAGCCCCCGAGGCTGCCCTGGCCCCACACAACATTCAGCTGCTGCTGGCGGGCTCTGATCCCCCCACCCTGGTCCCCCCATCTCCCTCCAACATTTCAACTTCAAATTGCAAATCTCTCTCTACACTGTGCATTTCTCTTACCACATTTCCATGGCCAAACCCCTCACTACTGGTGGCTTCTGAGCAGCAGGAACCAAAGTTAAGAAAAGCTCCCACTTGTGCCTGGGCCAGGGTGAGTGCTCTGCAGACAGAAGGCTCTGTGTGCTCTCACTCCCTTGGCAGAATAACAACCTCGGCC